TATGTCTATCTCTACTCTTCTCTCTACTCTCTCTCTAGATATATATTATATTATATATATATATATATATATATATATATATCGGGAAAAAGATGGGAACAGCCCACCAGCTGATGGCTACATCAATGGCCCAGATTGAATCTGGGCTTATCCAATGGTCACGATTGCATTTCCTGTTCAAATTTTAGTTTTTTCTTAAAAATCCAAATTACTTGAAATTTTGAGCATCTATTCTTTAAAATAGGAGAATCTAATAAAATATTTAAAGAATAATTCGCAAAAAAACTGACCAAAATACCCCTAAAACTTTTAGGGGTATTTTGGTCAATTTATTTTTTTTACGAATTGTTCTTTTAATATTTTTATTAGGTGTGCCTTGATGAGAAGAGTGGACGCCTAAAATTTCATGTGATTTAAATTTGTAGAAAAAATAAAATTATATTACGAAATACAGTCGTGACCGTCAGATCGGCCCAGATTCAATCTGGGCTGTTGGACTTACACTATAGCTCTCAACTAGAGCACTGTTCCCAGCTTTTCCTATATATATATATTTATCAAGATTTTGTGAGCTGTACTCCAGATGGCTTAGATTTAACCATCGGTCATCAGCATTCACCGATAGGGACGAGGTTTGGTTTCTCTTTTAGAATATTTCTTTTTTATTTTTTCAGGTGCACCTAGGTGAGGCTCACAAGTCCCCAGAATTTCAGGTCAAATCAGATTTACAAAAATAAAATTGAAAATGAAACAGTTCCATGCCAGCTGGTCATCGGATCTGTTAAAGTTTCGCCTGAGCCTCTGGCCTATACTATTCTGCACTCCAGGCAGCTCACTGTCCCTTTTCCCTATAATGATTTCGAAAACTCAGGAAACTAGTGCCACCCTTGCTTCCATTTGTTCACAGTTATCAAGAAGTTTCTAGTACCATGCTAATGGATGTGCAATACATATGAAAACAATGACGCACAACTCAAAGAGTACTACCGAATTATGAAAGCCAAACTCACTCTCCTTTCTCTTTTCTGGAGGAAAAAAGAAAAAGGCGGATGTTCAAGACTGACAGGGGAGTAAAAGAGAATATTTACCATGTATAATGGCCCACCTATTGTATCAATACAAAGGCCCGTTGCTGGAGGTAATGTAAGATCTGCACATGCTGATATTGATGTTATATCCAGAATATCAACTTTGATGAGAGGTTTTTCAATATGTGTGGTGCTTGTTAACATGGCTGAAGGACTCTGTGTGGATTGCTTTGGCTCACCCCTGCTTACCTGTCAATGGTAGTCTTTTTAATTATCCACATGTATTATCAAATAATTAATATATATATAGAGAAGTACATGGCAGTCACTAAAAGACTCCAGGGTCTCCCATTTCTTTTCCCTGACAATCTTAATATATCCTTCCTATCCTGTACATAATCCTCACATTGGATATGTTCCTTAAAGCCATTATTGACTACCAAATGTTTCATATGCAAACCCTCCCTTCTTAAGTTCCATCATCCTGGTTTAGTTTGATACCTGGGTGCAGGAAAAGAGGGGACAGTGGGAAAATACATCCTACATGTAAGAGCTGTTAAATAATTTGCATTAGCTTTGATGGGATTTTGGTATATCTGTAATTGCCATCTAGGTACACATTAATCTTTTGAAATCATTCCACACTCTTAAGTTATATATGCTTCAAAATCAAGTATTTCTTCAGCACATTCACATAATAGGATAGTAGTAGTTCTGGGCAACTTTTAGTAATACATATATTTAAAGGAAAATTGTTTCAAGCGGGAAACTGACAGTCCAAATGTTTTCTTAATAGAATTATTATTTTAAATTTTTAAAATTTATTTATTTTTTCATATTCATGATCTTTCTGTTAGAGATTATATGTCCTTAAAAATTAAGTCTTAAAATCCATCTCAAAAATAGATTTATTAAGAAGCCTGCATTTCTTCATATGCGAGCTTGGCCGCATAGAAACTGGGTCCTATATTTAAATGGCAATTTATTGGAATCTAAAGGACTCAACAATGAAGAAAGGGGACTATGGGGACCTTGTCGTTTAACAATTTTGGCAATGTGAATGAAGTCGAAGTCAATTTGAAGTTTCTGAAGACCTTATCTACCATAGTCTCTTGAAACACATCAGATTCTCATGAATGACATGTCAAAAAGAAGAGTCTGAAAATCACAGAGATCCAGAATGAGATGCAGATTCATCTTTGGTTGTCTTGACATATTCTCATAGTCGTAATATTTGGATCCACCCTCTCTCCCAAGGCAGAGTATTAATATACATTGTCGTTGAGTTGTCAGAACCGGTGGCTTCAACTCAACCTACTCATGACATACGGATTGTTCAATTCCTAGCCTTTTCCTTCAAACCGAGTAGACTTCTAAAGGATACACACCATCCAAATAAAATGACTTTAACATGCCATTGCATGATTCCAAGGTTCAATAATTCCTATACACACTGAAGTATCAGGAATCCAAATTGGGTTCTGTAACATGGAAAGCCCATGTATTACCAGCTAGTGTTTGCATTTGGGACAAGAAACTTAGCTCCCCATTAATGTCTCAAAACAACTTAGCTCTCCATCCATTAAATTTCTGATAGGTTTCCTATATGCAAATGTGGATATGACAACCTCATGCTCACTTCTGCTGATGCCTCCTAGACAGTGCTACTAATCGCATCGAGAATGGAATTTCCACAATTACTGCAAAACCTTCTGATAACATTTGAAAATAAGAATTCCTACTCTGCCGTTACAATCATTAAACAAAATGATGAAATGATTCTGTTGAATCATTCGAATAATTAAATGCTTTGGACCCAAATACATTACCTATGATGGAAATAAACATGTTAGTAACAAAACCTTCCTCAAAAAGGCAAAGCATAAACTACATAAGCAATATATTGATTTTCTTCCCCAGCAACGGGTTCGATGTGGTAACATCGACCTTTATAACGATCAAGGCTGGTACGTCCATCGACCCACACAGTTGTCTATGTACCAGTGGAAGATTCAGCAGCTACTACATCTCTTGCTTCCTCAGGTGGGAACTCCAAGTTGAGGAGTTACTCGGAATGCTGCCAAGATCTCAGTAACTACGGTTTCACAGTCAGGAGTATAATAAGTCAATCTATAATCTTTAACACCAGCTTTGAATCCAACACTTGCTTTAGTTTCTGTTTTTGGGGACATAAGTCCCTCCCTACAACTCATGAAGTAAGAATTCTCACAAGGACATGGTCTACTCGAAAGCAAAAGAAAAAAAGAAAAAGCATAGTAGCATGCAATGCAAATTCGAACACGATCAATTAAGCGGCCCAAGCAATTACAGAATAGAAGTCCAAAAAGGGCATTGAAAATAAAGAGAACAGAAAACACTAGCTCAACATCAGATATTTCTCACCAAATATTAGAAATTGCTGTACATCAAGTACTTGGTGTTCATTTTTAATTGGTGGTGCCATGAAGGGTGAATAAAAACAAAAGCTGAACTGATTTATAGAGAGTCACATGACAGACAATACAATAGTACATATGGAAAATTTGTAGTTACATACATGCTCTCGCTTGACAAGTGAAGCAAAATGACATGCAGGATAAAGGCTCAATCATAAATAGAGACTATGTAGCTTCCATTGAATTAAAAAAGATTGGATGCAAACTTACTGTTCACATGACATGATTGCGTATGGGTATGTAGTATGGACTGCTTAAAAACAACTAAATGGTCAAAATAACATTCCCCCTTCACTCAATGCATATCATCCATCTTACAGGAGTAGGACTACAAGAAGTAATTTAGAGAGAACAGCAATGCGACAGAAAGTTTTACCTGTTGAAGGCATTCATGGTTCAAAACAAATTGGGATCTCTTCCAATCATTATGGGGGGCAAATGGGTTCCCTGTAGGTGGTGAGGTCAAATATCCCACCTTTATGTAAGGCAAAGGAAGCTGCCAAACAGTTAACTGCATTAATGAAGCAACAAAGACAGGCATAACTTGACATAAAACTAAAATAGATTATCCATGCAAATTCGCACATTTTTGTTCTGGAAATAAAAAATATTTCATCCCTTCATCTAGGTGATGCATTTCAACAACAAATCCTATAATCTGCCTCACTGGCTTGATCAGTATGTAGCAATGCAAAAACTCCTGAATATTCTGAACTTAGCTTGAGTAGAAATCAAGAATGCGCGAGGTTCAGAATTAGGTAAAAAAAAAGCTAAGCATGCATTTAATAGGAAGTCCTTGAGAATTTCCAAGAGAGATAACTGATCGGGAAAATAGAATTTCCAAGAGAGAGATTCCTCATATAAAAAGATACAAGCGAATGGGATACATATATGGGCATCTTTTTGGTGTCCAGATGAACCACATATAGGGTAGCAAGAAACTAACATATAGTGTAGCAAGAAACTAAGGTAACTAAATACTATAAAGATGAAAAGGTCATAAAAAATATTAAACATTACAACATAGATGCAGTATTTAATTCTTTTTGTCAGTATAATTTCAGGAAACTATAATGAGACAAATAAGATACAAGACAAATGATTCTTGTTCTCAATAGTAGAAATTTCAACATTGAGAACAAAGAACCACGTGTATAGCAATCAATATTTCCCATATCTATTTTATGTGTAGTGGAGTATTTCAAGTTTGCAGCCAGTAGTATAACACCTAAAAGTCCAAGGACATTGTAGAACCTGGAATTTCAGGAAATGAAAAACTCTAAAATCTCAAGAATGAAGGTGAATTTTAAGACACACAGATAAAGCTCCTCTTTCAGTCAGTATAAACAAAACTATGACTAAAGTACATGATACTAAAACCTTGTGGCATGTCTATTTGCTAAATGTGGATAACTTCTACGCATGATTATTAAGCATTATTAATAGCATCTGGGGATTACATCTAGAGCTCTTTCCTTTTTTTTGATTGTACATCTACAGCTCTTTCAGTAGCTTGATTCATATGTTGCTATTGATTCCAATATCAATGTATTAAAACAATACAAAATCATGAAAATAAAGATTAATTATGCAGGAAAACCAATGGAAGGTTTTGCATAAGAATAACCATATTTTAAGAATAACCAGCAGTTTGCTCTATATTGAGTCAAGTCACTGACCATCGAACAAACAAGCCTCACGGCACTGCGGTAAACCTACATGACAGAGAGTTCATCTAAAGTTAGCTTGTGCTATCAGAAGAGAGCAAGATATGGTATATTGGTAAGAAGTATGTTTTGAAACTGTTTGATTAAGCTGCAGAATAATATGCATACCAGTGAAAGCTCTTAGGCATTTAAATGTCTTACTTTTGTATTTGCATTTATGTACAATAGAAATCCTTAAAATATTAAGAATGAAAAAACCAGAGGAAAATAAAATCCCAGACGAAATGAATATACTGAAATCCTTCCATTCCATCTACATGAATCACATAATTACATAAAGATCTGCATTAGATAGAAGTGAAGTGGACCAAGGTGTGGCTCATACAGTGAGGGGAATGCTTACACTTAATTAAGTCCAAAAACACAAATAATAAGCTAAGTGAATTCTACACAGAGAGTTCACGTGTGACATACCCTTTCGAATAAATTGATCCACCAAGTTACCATCAACAATAACATACCCTTTCGAATAAATTGATCATTTCCGATCAATTTCTATGACTTCAAACATCTCAGAAGTTGTCAGGTAGCAGGGCATTTGTCCTGAGGCAATTGGAAAACATTCACACAGATCCCCACAAAAATATACAAAACTGCTGATGAAGCTCAGAATTCGACCCATGTGAGATGTGTCACAATTGTGGGATATATGTGTTACGTGACAACAAATCAAATAATTCTACACAGTGTAAGTGTGAATGCCAAAATCTAGTTAATCATAACCATTAAAGTGAAAATAAGGAAATTTAATTGTTTTATATTGCTAAATAAAATCAAGTAAATTAGATTTCGATTGTAAACATAGGTTCAGGATTCATGATAAGATGTGACAAAGTTTTACGCTGGCTGCCTACCAAACGCAAGCCACCTCCTTACTGGGCCTTTGGACACGTTAAGGGGAAGTTTAAGGTCCTCACCCTTATTAGACCTAGTATGGATCTCCTCGTCTAATCGACGCTCACAGGATAAAGTGAGCACCATCAATCACAAAAGGCATGATAATGGGATCCACAACTGCAATTGAAGAAAGGGTATAAAAAAACACATTTTTTAAGGAAAATTTACTGTATTGTATCTAAAGTACGAGTTTAGCTACAAGCTCTGGCCCTTATACAATTCTTCCTCTCTCTTTTTTTTTTTTCTTTTTTTTTGGGGTAAATCAGTGGGGGAGAATGCCCCCTACCCGTTTTTATTATACGATTCTTCCTATTAAGGACAATTAGCACAACCGATCCAACAATTACATGGTACGAATCCCTGGATAGGGTGGGATTGTAACAAAATTTCAGGTCCCTCCTTTGCAATTGCATCTGCTGCTGCTTTGGCCTCCCTCTACATGTGCTTAAAGGTAACATGAAGGTGCTTCCTGATGGCACAAATTTCATCAAAAATCGGTTCCAGCCTCCATAGGGAGGAAGGAGACTTTGAGCCCAAGAGATAACATTCTTGGAATCCCCTACCACAGCAAAAGATAGCTTCAGACGCAATCCAACAGTTCTATACCTTGTAGAAGAACCTGTGCTTTAGCAAACATGCAGCATCACCCTAAAAAGAGATCAACATTTGGGACATGCTGTCTCAGAAGATGGCCCAACCCCTGTTGGGCCAAGGTTGCCAACCTTGACAACACTGAGCTCTGGAGGGACCCCAATGACTGGGTCACATAATTGTCAATGGCTTGTACCCAGGGATTGCGCTCCAGTTTTCATCAGAATCTGCTCAAGCCCAGCAACTAAACTATTTACGATTCTAGGCCAAAAATCACAGTAGAGATGATATGATCCTTAAACCTTTCTATCCGAGACTCATGACCTTCAAAGGCCGTTCCAACCAAATGACCCAAAACATGGCCAAAAGGGTGGCGTTCCATGGGAAAAGACCGGAGGAAGAGAAAGGGGGCCAAAAAATTCCACAAATAGTTGTTGGGCTGTTTGGGGCAGCACCCAAAGTTCATCAAATCATCAGACCGTGGAGGACCAGATGGTGCCCAAGACTAAATAACAAATGAAGAGATGACTGATAGCTTCTTCTTCCCTAGACATTGCACAGTGGTTAGCCATGTGGACACCTCTTGCTGTAGCTGGTCAGTTGTGAGGACTCTCTTTTGTGAGAACCAGCCACTTGAACGCCTGGATTTTTTAGGGGAACTAGGAGAACCAAGCTTTAGAGGCTATTACCAAAGGGTTATTTTCCGAGTTTGCATGTCTGAAAGCTAGGTAGAAAGAGCTTACTGAGAAAGAACCAGGGGTGACAGGAACCCAGAACATCTTATTGCGCTCTCCATTCTTAGTAATCTAGGTGGAAAGAGTTTACTGAGAAAGAACCAGGGGTGACAGGAACCCAGAACATCTTATTGCGCTCTCCATTTTCAGTAAGCTAGGTCGAAAGAGCTTACTGAGAAATTTTTTTTTGAACTTTGAGCTTAGCCAATGAAATAAATGCAGCCACCCAATTTCACATTCAATTGTCTAGATTAACTGTGACCGACCGCCTTGTATCAAAAATAAATTGAAGTAGGTGGCTTAAGTGGAGGGTTGTTGCTCCTCCTTCGACTTTTCTCATCGAAAACATTTACATGGAAGACCAACATATCAAATGATTACTATGTAACCCCTATCCACGCATGGTATTTGTATAGGAAATGTATACAAAGAGATATTTATTTTGGGAATAATGATCCTATGAGACCCCCCCACACCCATGTGTGTAGGACCCCAAAGGATAACCATTAAATTTAGCACAGATCTCTAAAAAAATCAAGTCCCACACCCAAATTCAGGCAAAAAACCGATTGGTTCTGGGGGTTTATTGGCTGGTTCTCGATTTTGAGGGGAACTGGCAGGTCTCCAACAATTCTTAATTTCGATCAGCCCTTTTTTAAACATTGGTGCAAGCAAACCAAGCAATCAATAATGCTGAACCAATTGATAATAAAGAATTAATGAAAAAAGAGGAAAATAAAGAGCAGAGAGAGATAGAGAGAGTTGAAATGCCTCAAAGGAACGAAATTTAAATGATTACTAACCATAGTCACTGATGAAAACTCATAACCTAAGATGTAATTAGGCAAATACTAAAATTAAGCTGCAATTATAAGCATCCACAATGCATACAATATGACGCTTAAACACACTTAAGGGAAGAGGCTTGCAAGCGTAAGCAAAAAATTTGCACATTATAGATGATTAGATTCAGTTTAGAAGATATAAATATAATCTAAGCACAGTCAGCCCAGCCTTAGAAAACTAAAATAAGTTCTGGGGGCCGGGCTACCATGGCCACAATGTTTGGCCTCGGCCTAAGCTGGGATATGGCCAGCCGAAGTGGAATTGACATGATAACCTAAAACAGGGCTAGGCCCCTTTGACATGTCGGCACTATAGGGAGCCAATGCCCCAAGCCAGACTGGCAGCCAGCCCGTTGCTTGTCCTGGCCCTCATTGTTGAGCCCTTTTTATGTTGATTCAAAAGGATGTATAGTCATATGAGCCAAAGGAGCACTCCTACAAAATAGCCACATGAGCCAAAGGAGCACTCCTTACAAAGTATTCAGAAATCAAAGACAATGGTGCTGTTTCTGAACGCTTAAATATTCAATTGAACATGAGTTTCTTGCCAAAGACTTAAAGAAAGGGGAGAAAGAGAGCTGAGATTCAGTATTTAATGTTCAAAAGAGAAAAATGCAAGAGCCTCATGATACAACACCTTATGCGACGTTTCATGCTCAGACTGAAAGATCCTCACGACAGTACCGAACAGTACTTTTGTTCAATGCACAAAATGCAGTACCACACACGAGAAGAAACAATCATCCAGCCAGTCTCCAATGGAACGACCTGATAAAAAGGGAGCAGAGAATTGAATTAACAGCAGCAACTCATAAAGAAAAGATAAAGCGAGGTGACCAGCATGATATAAATGCCCAGTAAAGCGTTCTTGGAAACCTATGTAAATCCACTTACTCAAAATTACCAACTTATTGATGACAATAAAAAAGTTACCATTTTCACCATTGTAGGTGGAGTGATGAACAATATCTTTTTATTGTCCCAGTTTTTTTTTTGATAAAGGTTAACATTGTATTACTGGGAGAGAGTTACAATGGAGAGTATTACAAGTAAGAGAGAGTCCAAGATCACCCTATGAGAGGGTAACTCAGTAAAAAATAGGCTTATTTTTTTTTCTTTTTAAATCCACACGTTTAAAGCCATACTGGCTTAACCATGTTACACTACCATGTCACAGTTGAGACTTAAAAAATGCATTGTTTGGACAGCGCATATCTCATTTGACGGGAGATAGAAATACTTATTGCTTTGCTGAGTAGATATAGGTGACTGACCAACATGGAGAAAAGAAAATTTTCACCTTGTGGTAAATCTCAGTGTGAAAAAGTCAGTTATCCTACTTGTCATATGTGATGGATTCACTTGATTATCAGGACATTTGGTATTATGAATGTGCCCAAATTGCATGCTACAGGATTAACATGTGAAATTGTTTTCTATGTCATTTCCTTTGTTTTAGGTACGTAACATGATCCATTTTCTAAGAAAGGAAAACAAATCAAGTGACACAGCATGCAGACATACAACATTGTTTTTGTTAAGAATGCCCAGAGCACTTAATAGAAAGTTGGAATCGATGATGAAGCACTTCCTTTGGAGTGAGTCATCTAATGGCAGAAAGTTTCATCTTGTCAAATGGGAGAAGTGAATCTTTCCAAACAGGCAGGGAGCCTTTGAGTCAGAAGGCTAATATTAGTAATGACGCATTGTTGACGAAGTGGTGGTGGAAAGTGGTTCAATACACTAAGCAACCTTGGACCAACTTTGTCGAATCGAAGTATGGCGTGGATGAGGAACAGAGATTGGTGAAGAAAATGAACAAGCATGCCCCTGCCTTTCACATTTGGACGGCCATTTTAACCAATCTAGAGATTTATTTGATTGCTATAGCAAAGTCTTGATGGGGGATGGTGCAAGCACAAGTTTTTTGAATTCCAAGTGGCTTGGGAATGGACCACAACATCCTCAGTACCCAGTCATCTAACAGGGAGAAACACTTGAAAATGTGGGACTCCATTTTAGGAGGCCTTTCCAATTGGGTGTGGGAAGTAACTCTATGCTTTAGAAAGGGTGAATGATGCGGTGGCCAACCAGTATATCCATCTATTGGAGGCCCTGAACTCAGATTTTTATTTTCCAAGTGAAGCAGATGAGATCATTTGAGAACTCACCCTCCTGGGAAGCTTCACTGTCAAATCCATGTTAAACTCTGTCAAGATAGATTATTCTCAGTCTACCCCGGTATACAGAGGTTCTGGAAACCGAAGATCCCTCAGAATGCCGCATTCCCATGGTTAGTGTTGAAAAATAGGACTTTTTGGTGCTCAAGCCCTAGCTCAAATATTACATTAACTTACATCTCTTAAGTGAAATAAAACATATTTCAAAGGTAGCATCTACAAGGCATTAATAGACAATAAAATAGGGTCATGTGGGAAGCACAAAGGTTGCAAAGGACCAAACTGCTAAAGCATGTGTGTAGAAAGTCAGTAATCCCATGTTTGGTATTATTGTGCTCAAATTGCATGTTCCAATATCAGCATGCGGAAGTGTACTTTTGTACTTCATTTCCTTTGTTTTTAGTACGTAACATGCTTAATTTCTAAGAGAGGAAAATGCATCAAGTTGCACAACATACAGATAAACAAGTTCTATTGAGTAAAAACATGTTTTCTTCTCCAAGTTCACCCTTATAAAATGCACATATGATTATTCATGTAAAAAAACTTATCAGAAAAATTAGTAAAAATCTCCACAAAACAAATAGAATCCATACCAAACTTTACATGATAGATTGCAGAGGGGTGATAAGTCACAATGATTTAGACAAATAGATAAACAAACAAGATCAATGTAAGCACGAGGAGAAGATTAGACATCTTGTCATCATTATTATCAGTAAAAAGAGTAATCAGGAGAAAAACAATCTTGTGCATAATGATCACATTAAATTGGTATAGAATAAACGGATCAACTTTCATAATTACAAGTCCATAACAAAGAAAAAACCCATTTTAATTATATGGGATTGTTTTATGAAAAGTCAAACATATCCAGGCTCAATTAGAAGTTGCATGCTGTTACAACCATGAGATATACATGTAATACAAAGAATGAATTCTCATGTGATGTTAAAGCCCATGTCACAAGTCCATAGCAATGTAAATTATATGAGTTAGTTTATGAATTCTGTAGATATCCATCAGAAGTCCATAGCAATGTAAATCATATGAGATGGTTTAAGAATTCCATCGATCTGTATCAATGTTAAAAGACTGAGCTCGGGATCAGGACTTGGCCCCTGGCCGAGCCAAATAACTCTAACAAGTTCAAATGGACTCATCAAAATCATGCACAAGCCCATAAACAACTTAAATTACCCAAAAATTCAACAAAAAAGTTTAAAAGAATTAAAAACCAGTAAAAAGCAGAAGTTATAAACATCATTAAAAGTCTCTAAAAGATAAAAAAAACAAAAACGTATACAAAAAGGAGGATTATGAAAAAAAAAAAATTATGGCAAGAAATAATTCAGAAAAATCCAAAAAAACGGGAAACAGAAAATTAGAGCATATAAATGTAAAACCCCTAATTTATTGGTTTTAAGACGACAAATAAGATTAATGGTCTTATAGACCAAATATGAATTATTATAGTTTCCATGTCTTTTGCTGCAAAACCCAAATACATCTACGATGACTTTTTACTCTAGAGAATTATAAGTCCATGACCAAATTACCAATGTGTAACTATATTGGATTATTTGATACCATCAACCAGGTACTATTCTCTTTCATTAGAAAGAATGTATTCTTTGAGTATTGCTTAGTCGAGTAGCAAGTCAAAGCAAACAAACAAAAACTATGCAAAAATGAGAGCATTTTGGAAAATACAGGCTTTCAGAATCATTCACGTTTGTATGCTCATAAAAAAGCAAAAGATACATCCATGGGCTAAGAGTGCAAAAGGAGTAACACTGGGTTGGAGAGATTTTTTCTCATTCATCACCAGGGTTGCTCTTTTCTTTATTTTTTCGTCACATCTAAGTTCAATATTCTAGCAAGGAAAACAAACCAACATGTAAAGGACAAGCAAAAAGCGCAACAAGCAAAAAGGCCAAAGTGTGCCAAGAAATTAAAAGAATTTTTTATAGAGAGAAACCCTTTATTCTTCTGCAGAGGAGAAAACAAACCAAACCAGTAAAAAATTTCATAGGGATCTTATAGATCGATTTCTGAAGAATTGATATCAAATGAGGGATGTGCACAACTTTGGGCATTTTATTAATCATGTCACTTTAATCCCATTGCGAAAAAAAAAAAAAGAAAAAAAAAAAGAGAAAATTACAAAAACCCCCCTCAAGTATACTATCTATGCAACTTACCCCCAACCAACCTTTACTCTCACTTTGTTTTCCATAACCATCTTTTCTCGCAAAACCCCCGATCCAAAACAAAAAAAAAAAAACTAAACTGCTGCCCCCTCTTTTTCTTCGTGGCTTTTACCCGCTGACTCTTTTCTCGTGGATTTTACCCACGACTCGCGCTTCGGCAGTTCATTTAAACGCTCCGGCAATGAAGACACACACTCCGGCACTACAAGGACTCGCTCCAGCAGTACACCTTCTGGAGCCATAGCGCTCCGGCGGTTGAATAGGTCACTCTGACACATGCTCTGGTAGTATATACGCTACTTGGGACCGTCAATTGACCCTTTTTTTTTATATAGGAAATGATATTTCCGTCCAAAAAATAACAGCTTTTTACCTTTAGGGGGTGGGGGTTTTTGCGAGGGAAAGTGATTGTGGGAAAAAGTGAGAGAAAAGGTTAGTTGGGGGTAAGTTGTCTTGAGGGGTTTTTTGTAATTTTTTCAAAAAAACTAAAAAAAAAAAACCTACAAAGAAAGAAAGGAACTCACAAGAATCGATCAGAACATTTATTTGAAAAAGTAAACCATTTAAAAAAATTGAGGTTAGTAATCCAAGAAAAAGAACTAGATGGATGGATTATCTACAAAATAATGAATAGCCTCTATTTAGAAAGAGAGAGTTTATTGAATGCAGAGGAGTACCATTGATTGATTCTGATAAGGGCGCGACCAGAGGATGCGTTCTACAAATCTCCATAAACCCTTTTCCCTTCTCTACAAATCTTCATCAACAATTTTCCTATCTCTATATAACCGAACTCAAACAGTGGAGATGTGTTGCACTTTGAAACGGTCTTTACTCACCTGAAGCTCTCTTTAATCGGCTAACAAATCAATCTATCTCCCATGTCCGAAAGATACAACTCTTCAAGGGTGAAGAGGTATTGGAAGCCTTGAGGCAACCCCCTAAATATATAATCTTTGGAGGCATAGGCATAGGCATAGGCATGGCTCTGTCCTCCACTTCTTCCCATTCTTCTAAATAGAGTATTTGAAGTTTAGGGAAGGCAGCAGCGTCACATTTACCTCCTATGCGCTTGCCAACATAAGAGTTGTAGGTTAAATGGAGGTACATGAGATTGGGCAGGGTTTGAAGGACAAGGAAGGGGTCATGTGGGCATTGTATAAGACTAGTTTAGAGAGGCATGGGAGAGATTCAACCCCAAACCAATTGGGTAGGTTCTCGATTGGCAGGCAACAATCGAGTTCTAACCTTTCAAGAGCGGTCGGAGGTGATGGGTAGAAAAGCTTCCGATTCCATGGAATCTATGCGCAAGCAAAGCAACGCAGTGATGGATTCCCACAGCTCCACCACCCCATATAAGACTAGTTTAGAGAGGCATGGGAGAGATTCAACCCCAAACCAATTGGGTAGGTTCTCGATTGGCAGGCAACAATCGAGTTCTAACCTTTCAAGAGCGGTCGGAGGTGATGGGTAGAAAAGCTTCCGATTCCATGGAATCTATGCGCAAGCAAAGCAACGCAGTGATGGATTCCCACAGCTCCACCACCCCATCTTGGCTCCTCTCTAAGCAAATATATAATTTTCGCAAATGTTCGAGGCACCCCAATTCTCTAGCAATGCTTGAGTCACCTGCTTGCATATATACTTTAATGTTCGGAGTTCACTGAAATTCCTCATTCCATTTGGAGCCATCACGGCACGGCACGGCACCACCAAATGAATAATTAGAGAAATAAAAATACCTCAAGCTTTTTAGTTTTGAGATTTCCCTTGGGTGTTCTCCTCCGAATCCCCCCAAGTCTAATGTAGACTTGCAAACTTGTCAAGTTCCCCAAAGCGTTTGGGACCTTCTCAAGTCCTGTATCTCTTAGTCCATCATACCTCAAGTGAACTAGGTGTCCTACTTCATTTTGGAAGGCACTCAACCTTAGTACCTTATAGATCCAAAACCCTCAAATATTTAGAGCTAGAAAACAATCGACTCAAATATGAGGGTGATAATGTTTCTGAACCGAATAGTAAAAATGTTCGAAGACAGGACACTTCCTTCATGGTAGGTACACTTGAAGCATCGTTTTGAATAGCGATGTGCCGGGTTTTATCGGCAAATTTCTTATTTTTGTCATCGCAAAATGTTCCAAACATCTAGCTTTTGTACCACATCATGTATGCGGATTGTTTTAACATGCCCAGTTGTACCAAATTTCACGAGCTTCGATCCAACAACTCTTTGAAGTAATCGGCAGCGACTTCCGTCTCTGTTATTCCTCTCTTTCCTTCTATAAATCCCTCCGCAACCCAAAGCCTAATCAATTTGAAACGAGGAATTTCATAGTCCTCTGAGAACAAACAACAATATAAGAAAATCCCTGTAACTCAGCATCAAAATACCCCTCACATCTTTATGCTTGTGCAATTCCCATACAAGACTGCGGCAAACCTTTTCCCAAGCATGTATTGCTTTGGGTGCTCTCGACATCATACTTCCCATGGTGACAATGGCGAGGGGAGTCCATCACATTCCTTAACAATTAGCCTCTCGACATTCTCCAACTCTCAAGGATATAAGTTATCATTTTCCCTCCAAAATGCCTTCTTGCGGAAGAGGGTCAATCTGCTTTCGTTGTATAAATCAGGAAATACACTATGTACCTCCCTCCACACATCATCTAACACCACAAGATACCTCCTATTGTCTAAACATGAATGATTCATCCCTTTCATGCTCTTTATCAAATCTTGCCATTCAAAGTCTCTATTTTGTTAAACGATTGCGAGACTGTGACCCAAGCACGACAAACAAAATGTTTCTTAAAAAAGTCAGCATTGTAAATTCTATTAGCAAGCGCTAGTCTTGCCTAACCCAACCCATGCCCAGGATGGAGATTACCTTGAGTCGCGGATCTCCGTCTGCTAGCCATCCTTTGAGTTCTTCTACTTTCTTTTCGATTCCAACAAAATGCGCTTCCTCTACCAAAGAGGAAATTGTTGATGGAGATTCCCTTGTTGCAGTCAAGTCATGGCATTCAAACTGCTCGCTTCACCATCCTCTCTTTGGAGGTCAAGTCGATTCTTCCTCATGTCCATGGCATTGACACGAGCTTCCACACTCCTTATTGTGCTACCAAACTGATGATTGATTTTGATTTCCTCAATAAATTGAAGCAGAGTGACCAAGCACTCCATGCATCGCATTGGCTGCTGCAATTCTAAAGTCACCTTCCTCCAAATGAGTTCGCTGAGGGCATCCTCAGCATCATAGAACACAGTTCACACTTGACGAACCCAAACATCCACCCCTTCTTTTCTCTCTTTTTCTTTATCGGCCCTCTTTAGGAACACTCTCGTGCCTTCGATCTCATCTTCGATCCATCCTACTTGATCTTCCACTCCAGAAAAGAGCTTCAATTCGCCACTGAGCAGTCCTCCAATTTTTTTTAAGAGATATATTGTTGCGGTCTCTGCCATTTCTCCTCTCTCACTAAGATATACTGAGGGAAACAACGGCCTCTCTGCCTCTCTCTCTCTCTCTCTCTTTCTCAGAGTGAGAAACAGTGAATGAGTCTCATCACTTACACTTTCTTTTGCCCTGTGGTCATTTATCGTTGAGCATCAGAGAGCCGACAATATACTGTGGAGTGTGGAGTGTGGAGTGTGGAAAATTTTGGACCGATTATTCAAAAGTAAGGCTTTTCACTCTGGATATTGGTTGGCTTCACAGGTGTGATTCATTGGATTTTGAAGGCCTTATTCAAACTTATGCCCCACTTTGATTTATCAGCCATGTATGTTGAAGGGGAAAAGTTTATATAGAGCCAAGGTTAGAGACTACCACAAAAATTTCATTAGAATAGGTTGTTTCGATGTTTAAATATCCTCAAATTGACAATCACGACTTTGTCATGATGTATGGAGATGAGAAAAAAATAGATTTTAAGTTTCGATAATAATATATTTTGTAACGTATTTTTGGACCATCAATTTTTAATATTTTCAATATATATTGATCTACACTATTTTTTAAGTTAAAAATTTTATAAATAAAAATAAAAATATATTTTAAAACTATCACAAAATTTTTTAATATTAAAATCATATTTCTCGACACCATTTAAAAATAGGCTCTAATTTGATTTGATTGTTTAGAGCCTAGGCTCTATACAAACCGCACGCACCCTGAAGATGTCACCGCACGCACCCTGAAGATGTCAAAGGGACGATTGTTCAACTTTTCTCATCGAATAACGATTACATGGAATCTCTAACTATTTATTACATGCTCCCGTGGTCCTTGGGTAAAACCCCAACCTACAAGTATTTACGACACCCGGAAACCTGAACATCAGAGAACAATTTTTGAGTTAACGCGTTTTATGTGCGCCTTAAAAAAAATTAAAAATAAAAATAAAATAAAGAGATACACTTACTTTGACATCCATTGAAATTAATGCCTTTAAAAAATTCCTTCAAATTTTTTATTTTATGTTCTTACTATTGTTTTTTGAATTTATTTATTAAAATGCCTCGATTTGAGACAATGAAGGTCTAAAGTTTAATTTTCCACTCAGTTCCAACCATCTCCAACGTTCAAGTTGATGTCTTCGGAACAAAAACAAGCAAAATCAGTTTCCAATAAAACGTTTCAAACCTCAATTTAGACGTTGAAAGTAGAAGTTAATGTTTGGAAACTTTAACTTTGGATCTTTGAAAAATAAAATTTCAAAATAGGAAAAGGTATGTATGTAAAATCAAAATTTTGGTAGATTTCAATGCAAAGGACATCAGTGAAAATTTCTCAAGAAATAACATCCTGAGTTTCAGCCGTCTAATTTAGATTTAATTATTTAAAAAATCAAATTTCATTTTTTTTTTAATAATGATCATGTATTAATTCAAATGCGGAATTCATTTCAATTCTAAATACTAAGTATGTCCGTTTATGGTGTGAAAATACTTATCAATCCTGAGTTCTCCACAAAATATCTAAGAACTTCAATATCGATCAGCACCAGCTTACCATGATTTGACCCAAACTCTAGCCCAACTGATACCATTTGTGGCCAAATTAGATGGAATTCTCAGGAAAAAAAGAAAAAAAAATTATATGTTGACGCGATTAAAGGGTAAATTTTACATGAACCATTTATACCCATATTGTCCGATGTCACCAAATCCGGAAACACGATGCTATTTAATCTCAAAGTTTTGAAGCATATTTTTCTTGTTGAGATTGATCTATCGTTACTCTTACTTTTGTTTTGTGCCCTCAAGCCTCTCCTCAAATAATACATTAACTTGCTCCATTTAGTCAATTAAAACATATTTCAAACACTCATGCCCCTATCCTTAAGGCTACAACTTGAATTAGGGCCATTTTCCACTTAGTTTTGTTAAACCGTGAATCTTATAGTTTTGTCGTATTTTGGTATTTAAGACTTAATAATATTCCATTTTTAATAGTATTATATTACAAATATTACTATAAGACAATAATGTAAGTTTAAATCAATGGTTTAAAAAGTGGATCGGTGACCCGGATCGAGCACTTCAAAAACCGATATTCTCTTTTTATTTCACATTGGGGATCCATGGTGTTGAAAAATGTCTTCAAATAGCATGCCCTCTTAATGTTGTGCTTTGAGAGAAGCAAGAAGGACAACATTCAAAAAATTTCCCCTGGCTTTATTTCTTTTTTCTTTCTAGCCACAGGACCACGTGAACGCCGAGGAGATCCACGCAATGTTGTAACTAGGATGCTCAGACATTTGGGTGCAATGTACAGGTCCATCTATGGAGACATTAGGTGGGGAAGAGACTTTGAGGGATCTTGTAGAAGTCCTCACCCTCAAGGGACTATTTGTGATTTTGGCAGCTGAGTATTTTGTGTAGACCTCATTGGTCAGAATCAAGCCTATCTAAGGGCCAAGCGCTATGAGCCTTTGGTCGGTGTTGTTTGCTGCTACACCAGGTTTACTTTTGACAATCAAGGTACCTCGGTGGGCCCGCATCTTGTTGGGTGCAGTTGGGGGCTTTTTGTTGGCCTGTCCCGAAAGTCTGGGACTGTCAGCTTTTGGCAAGGTGACCTCATGGAAAGGCATCACCCTAAAGTCTCTGGCAAGTTCCACCATGGCTTTGTCAGTTTCTTTCCTTCGTGAGCGTCTTTAGAATTTTGAAGGGATCTTTCGGTCAAACTCCTAACCCTCAGGGACTCTTTTTTTTATTTTAAGGGGTCTATTGTTCATCGCCCTACCCTCAGGGACTCTTTTTTATTTTGAGGGATCTATTGTTCATCGCCCCTACCCTCATGGACTCTTTCTTATTTTGGAGGGATCTTTCAGTCATCGTCCTCACCCTCAAAGACTCTTTTTTATTTTGAGGGATCTATTGTTCATCACCCCTACCCTCAGGGACTCTTTTTTATTTTGAGGGATCTATTATTCATCGCCCCTACCCCTAGGGACTCTTTTTTGTTTTGGAGGGATCTTTCGATCATAGTCCTCACCCTCAAGGACTCTTTTTTATTTTGAGGGATCTATTGTTCATCGCCCCTACCCTCAGGGACTCTTTTTTATTTTGAGGAATCTATTGTTCATCGCCCTTATCCTCAGGAACTCTTTTTTATTTTGATGTTTGGGAGATCTTGTGAGGCTCTCACTCTGGGGTGAGCCATCTTGTGTTTTTTATTGGGTCCTGACAGATGATGATTTTGTGTGGACCTCATTAGCAAGAATTGTGCCTGTTTGGCAATTAGGTGCCGGCTAAGGCTATGATGCTACGTCAACCTGCTTTATTGGTCCAAGCGCCCTTTGCGAGTTTTCACCTGGACTGGGGAAGTGGCGTCGTAAAGAAGGTTTTCACTAACCTCCTTTATTTTTGGGATTTTTTACCCATGACCTTGCAGCCATGTCCACCCTTTTCTTCCATTTTTGCTCACGGCGCCCTTTCGGGTTTCACCGTGCTGGGGTTTTATTTTCACGGAACTCTTTTACTCATGATTTCCTGAGCATGCCCATCTGTCATTTTTACTCATGGTGTTCCCTTATGCAGGTATACTTCATGCCCATTTTTTTGTGAAGGCATGTTTAGGGTCATGCCTTCGAGACCTGTACGAAGCCTTTTAACGTTATGCGGCCAGGACGTGCACTGCAGTTTAAGGTCATACAGCTGGACCATGGTGGGGCTGGATAATAGTCTATAGAGGCCATAGAGAGAGTGTGGTGGTGGTTTTGACTCATTTTGGGGAGACGGTACGAGGCTACCTATGAAAAGTGGAAGATGTATGAATGGAAGATGAAGAGTGATGACCCACTAGCTTATGACAGTGTGGATGGCGGGATGGTTCGCCATTTTATGAGCATAGGTGAGACTCATTAGGGAATGATGAATAATAATAATGAAGTGAATGGATTCACTGGGGAAATGATGAAGGTGGTGCGCGCACAAGAATAGGTCGGTTAGGGAAAGGCGTGCATGGAGATGCATGTAAAGGGGATGTCCGCATGTGTGGGGACGTCTTTAAGGTCATGCCTCCAGGACCTGAGTAAAGCAGTTTAACGTCATGTAGTCAGGACGTGTACTATGGTTTAAGGTCATATAGCTTGGACCGTGGTTATGTAATTTAAAGTCATGAAACTAAGACCATGCAATTTAAGGTTGTGCAACTTGACCTCCGCTACAGTTTAAGGCCATACAATATGGACCATGGTGCTTAGCCTTTTAACGTCATGTGGTCAGGACATGCACTACAGTTTAAGGTCATACAACTGGACCATGGTTATGTAGTTTAGAGTCATGCAATGAGGATTGTGCAGTTTAAGGTCGTGCAACTAGACCTCCGCTATGGTTTAAGGTCATATAGTTTGGACCATGCAGTTTAGGGTCGTGCACTTAGATCATTTAGGTGAGCTATCGTGTAAGTTAAGCTCCATGAGAAATAAGTTTGTGAGTGGAAATCCGACTCCCTAGGGATAAAATGGTTAAAACCATCAAGAGGTTTAGATGAAGAACTAGACTTCACTAAGGATTAGGGGACAAGTATGATTCCCTAAGGTGAAAGATGGAATTCCATGGCTCATGGGAAAGTAACCTAACTCCTGGGGACAGGATAAATTGGTGCGCGACTGACCCAAGGGGATTGAAGGGGTAAGCATGACTCCACGGGGAGAATGAGCAATGGTATGTATGTAACTCCGTTGAGAATGACAGTCAGAGCATAGGTGCAACCCCACTGGGGATTGAAGAGATAAGAATGACCCTAACTCCACTGGGGATAATGGGCTGCTATACGGATGTGATTCCTACTGGGGATGAGGGAGGTGCGTCCATTTCATCAATTAAAGTCATTCACATGGACTATTTGTCACGTCGTTTTAACATCTTGTCGCTTGGACCATGGCTAAGCAGTTTAAAGTTCTGCACCTAAGACCATGCAGTTTAAAGTCCTGCACCTAAGACCATGCAGTTTAAGGTCGTGCAACTAGACCTCCACTATAGTTTAAGGTAATATAGTTTGGACCATGGTGCTAAGCCTTTTAATTTCAAGCGGCTAGGACGTGCACTATATTTTAAGGTCATATTGCTGGACCATGTTATGCAGTTTAGAGTCATATAATGAGGATTGTGCATGATTAGGTGCCTCGATCTCGCCTTCCAGATCTAGATGATCTGGTGGCACGTATCTCGAGTTTTTTGCAAACCTGGGATTTGAGATCGCTCTCTTAGAACCTTCCTCAGGAGCAAAGGTAGGTATACCAAC